GAGAGAGCTCTTGACAGAAACTGCTCTTTTTCAAGAACAGCTCTTATCAGAACTACGGCCTGCCCAAGGTCATCCAGCAGCTGCAAGCGGAGGAGTGGGGAATCAAACCCGGTTCTCCCAGATTAGAGTCCGCGCTCCTAACCACTATACCAAACTGGCCCCATAAGTGCCATGGTCGGTGGGAGGACTTGAATCTGGGGCTCTCCTATCTTAGCGACACTCTCCAAGTACCACCTTGGGCAAGGTAAGGAAAGGGATGGAGACCAGCAGTTCTGTGTTCCCACCCAGCCTATGTCCAGGAGAGCTTGCGGTGATCGCAGCTGTTTTCATGATTAGTCCAAATGATACTTAGGAAATGGCCCAAGCGTGTGCATATTTGGTCTGAAGCGAAGCAGAACAAGCCACAGGTAGAGAATTGTGGAACCGCCCTCCCAAGAGAAGGCAAACCGGGACTAGCTAAAAGCAAACTGATTGGGTGGCCCTTGGGGACTCGGACTCTGAATCGCCGGCTGGCAACCAGGAAGCAGCCATCCCCCCCCCACCCCCCCGCGCTCCTACCTCTCCTTTCTGAAGCTCTTCGATCTTCTTCTCTTTCTGGAGCAGCCTCTCTCTGTCCCGGGAGTCAAAGGAAAAGGGGCACACCTCCACCTGCCGGGGCTCGACGGCTTTGGGCTTGAAGGGCACTCCGAAGTGAGGCATGGGCTTGGCTTTGATCACCAGGGCCACCGCCTCCTCCTTCTCCCAGAAGAGACAAGAGATGGGAAGCAGACTCCTATTACTTGTTTATTATTTATTAAACTTATGAATTGCTCACTCTGCAAGCAGGCTCTGGGTGATTTACAACATTATAAACACTTAAAACACAGTTAACGTAGAATTAAGATGATGAGAAGAACTGGTCAAGACTTTATAGATGGTCTATCGCAGAAGATAGAACAAAGGTCCTACACACGATTTGTTGCAATTTGGTCAAGGGTTCTCAATTTTATGTCAGAAAACGGACCATTCTTCCGTCCAAAGCGTCATACATTCCCTGGATACGATTTTAAACATGATTACTCATCTTACATACATTAGTAGGGTCGGTTTAGAACGGATAAGAGGAAGTACTTCTTCACCCAAAGAGTGATTAACACTTGGAATTCACTGCCAACGGGAGGTAGTGGTGGCTACAAGCATGGGCGGCTTCAAGAGGGAATTAGATAAACATCTGGAGCAGAGGTCCATCAGTGGCTATGAGCCACAAGGGATAGATAGGAACTCTCAGTCTGGGGCAAGGGATGCTCTGTATTCTTGGTCTGTCTTCTTGGTGCTTGGGGGGGGGTCAACAGTGGGTGGGCTTCTAATATCCTGGCCCCACTGCTGGACCTCCTGATGGCACCTGGTATTTCTGGCCACTGTGTGACACAGAGTGTTGGACTGGATGGGCCTTTGGCCTGATCCAACATTGGCATCTCTTATGTTCTTATGGTAGTGTTCAGATCATTCTTTTCAGGATGAATCGTCACTGCTTTACTTTTTGAGTTTTAGTGCTACGGTTAATCTCTAAGAGGGTAGGCTTTTAGAGCAAAGTTAAGCTGGTAGTACTTGTAATGGGTTATGTTTATTCTCAAAGTTACATGTTTGTGTTACATTTGTATTGTAATGCTTTTGGGTTTTTTTTTTCCTGTCTCCATGGTTGTCCCATTATGTCTTTTCTTAATAAAAAATTATTATTTTTTTTTAAAAGATAGACGCTCCATACTGCAAATGGTTACATTGGTTTAGGTGCATAAAAGCGTGATTCTATTTATATAAAATTGAAACAAGCCATAATGAGGACACGTTCCATGTGTGTTCTGTGTTAGGCTTTCTTTGTTTGTAGTTGTTGCTTCTCTTTCTCTTGTGTAGAAAACTAACAAAATCTTCAAAAAAAAAACCAACCCCAACCATATAGTTAAGATTATTAGAAAAACACAGCCCCTCCTGAAAAGGAACACAAACTAGGAACGCAGCCCCTCCTGAAAAGCTATTTTATTTTCTATTTACCTCACTTATAGTCCACTCTTCTCCCCAGGAGGTACCCAGAGTGGTCTACCTGATTCTCCTCCGTTTCGTCTCCACAACCACCCTGTGAGGGAGGTTAAGCTGCGAGTGTGTGCGCGTGTCTGGCCCAAGGGCACCCAGCCAGCTTCCAGGGCAGAGTGGAGATTCGAACCTGGGACTCCCAGATTTCAGTCTGACATTGAGCCTCTACATCACACTGGCAAAGGCAGGGGGTGGCTTGGATGCTGCTGGCTAGAGATGTGAAAGCCCAGGATTTTGGGTTTTTTTTAAAACAGAGAGAAACATACAGAAAACACACCTGAGCCCCCCCCCCAACGTTTTAACTGAAAAACTTGGGAATTTGGGAGAATCACTGAAGAACTCCCCTGAAAGTATCTCTTGTGGAGTGAGCAGACTGCTTCTTACAGCAATGGTTTCCCACTGTCCACCCAGCGGTTCGAAAGCTTCGGCAAGTAGATAAAATGGGTACCACTCCTTAGAGAGGGTGGGCACATTAAACCCCCCGGTGGGGGAGGTGTTAGCCGGCAAATGGAAGGTCCAGCGCGTGAGATCGAAAAGCCTAGAAAGAACTCTTCGGCATCAAGAAAGCCTGTAACGGGCCGTCCGGCCAGGCGGTGGCAGTGCTGCACTGCAACTGAAGCAGTCCTGGAGAAAGCTGACGACATCAAGCCACGCCGAGGGAAAAATGCCGTTGGAACATGTCTGACCTTACTGCTGAACAAACTCCCCGTCGGCTGCGAACGTGTGTGATTTAAAGATTTATATGTTGTCCTCCCTTACCCCTTTGAATCATTGTTAGTCCCGTGTGTATTTGAGTAACTGTAAATCGCTCAGAGCCAGCAGCTCTGCAGGACTGAGCGATTAATACATTGAAAGATTATTATTATTATTATTATTATTATTATTATTATTATTATTATTATTATTATTATGTAGCGTGAAAAAGCATGAGGACTTTCCCAATTTGGGGGAAGTACTGGGATCTGAATAGTTTTTGGCAAAAATTAATAAGTTATGCGCTCAACAACATAAAAACATCAGAGAAGCCACGCAGCATCAGACCAAAGGCCCATCCAGTCCAACACTGTCACACGGAGGTCCAGCAGTGGGGTCAGCATTGGACTGGATGGGCCATTGGCCTGATCCAACATGGCTTCTCTTATGTTCTTTTGAGATCCTTATGAGATCTGAGACTGGGAAAGGTAGCCATGAAGATGGAGACAAGGGTTTGGCCTGAGATTTCACTTAACCAGAAGTCTACTCATCACTCTGCCCCATCTGACCCTACAACACCCGGACTCCCTACAGCAGTGATGGCGAGCCTTTTAGAGACCGAGTGCCCAGACTGCGACCCAAGACCCACTTATTTATCGCAAAGTGCCAATACGGCAATTTAACCTGAATACTGAGGTTTTACTTTCGAAAAAACAACTCATACCTTAACTTAAGAGAATCCAAACAAAGTAAGGAAAGCAATCCCAAATGCTTTCATTTACTTAAAATTATTTGGCAGAGAATTCGACACTTTAATGATGGTCTGGGCCTGGCTGGGGTGATGGCACGCGTGCCCACAGAGAGGGCTCTGAGTGCCACTTCTGGCACCCGTGCCATAGGTTCGCCACCACTGCCCTACAGCAACGCAACACTCCTGTGAGCACTGGCTGCCGCCCAGAGGAGAACTTACCTCCTTCTCCTTCTCCTCTTCTTTGGCCAGGGTACTGACTTTGTTCCTGAGCGCAAATGCTGGGGACTTGGGAATTGTGATGGGAAGTGGCTTTTTCTCTGGGACACCCTGTGGGGAGAAAGCAGTAAGAAGAGCTGCGGATTACCAGGGGATTCCGGAGTATATACCTGCCATGCCACTTGTAGAAGGAGAGTTTCCTTTAAAAAAAAAAACCCAAAAAACTTTTTCACTGGAGACAAAACTGAACTGGGAGCTCAATAAAACAGCAAAACCCTGATGGACCTCACAGAAGACCTTTGAGGCTTTATTAACAGGAAATCAGCAGTCGGTGATGGGAACGATCTCTGCCTGAGACCCCGGAGAGCCAATACCAGTCTGAGTAGATGATTGACCTTGACGGACCAGGGGTCTGATTCAGTATAAGGAATCTTCATGTGCATGTTGGGGAAGGGCCGTGGGCTCAGTGGCACAGCCTCTGCTGGACATGCAGGTCCCAGGTTCAATCCCTGGCACCTCCAGTGAAAAGATCTAGCAGTCGGTGATGGGAACGGCCTCTGCCTGAGACCCTGGAGAGCCAATACCAGCCTGAGTAGACGAGACTGACCCTTGATGTACCAAGGGTATAAGGAATCTTCACGTGCATGTTGGGAAAGGGCCGTGGCTCAGTGGCACAGCCTCTGCTGGGCATGCAGAAGGTCCCAGGTTCAATCCCCGGCATCTCCAGTGAAAAGATCTAGCAGTCGGTGATGGGAACGGCCTCTGCCTGAGACCCTGGAGAGCCAATACCAGCCTGAGTAGATGAGACTGACCTTGACGGACCAAGGGTCTGATTCGGTAGAAGACAGCTTTGTGTGTCCCAGGTTCCATCCCCAGCATCTCCAGTTAAAAGGACCAGGCAGTTGGTGATGGGAAAGACCTCCACCTGAGACCCTGGAGAGCCAATACCAGTAGAAGGCAGCTTTGTGTGTCCCAGGTTTCATCCCCGGCATCTCCAGTTAAAAGGACCAGGCAGTTGGTGATGGGAAAGACCTCCACCTGAGACCCTGGAGAGCCAGTACCAGTAGAAGGCACCTTTGTGTGTCCCAGGTTCCATCCCTGGCATCTCCAGTTAAAAGGACCAGGCAGTTGGTGATGGGAAAGACCTCCACCTGAGACCCTGGAGAGCCAGTACCAGTAGAAGGCAGCTTTGTGTGTCCCAGGTTCCATCCCTGGCATCTCCAGTGAAAAGAATCAAGCAGTGAGACCCTGGAGAGCGGCTGCCAGTCTGAGTAGACAGTGCTGACCGTGATGGACCAAGGGTCTGACTCAGTCTAAGGCAGATTCATGAGTTCGTTTGGGGCATGGTTGAGGCACTGCAAGTTTTATGCAGGCACTGACCAAGCCTACTGGGACTCACAGTTAATTCACGTTACATTAACAGGACCGAGAACTCCGAAAAACCTCTGATGATGTCCTAAGGAATCTCTAGCACAGTTTGCGCACCCCCTGCTTATCTTCTCCTTCTGTTTCACCCCACCTGAGGAATCGTTAATTTCAAGATGCCCAAATCACATCCGAGCCAGTCCTGGTTGAAACCAGTGTTCCCTCTAAACTGAGTTCGTGTGAGCCAGCTCACCGTTTTTTAGCCTACGGCTCACACATTTTTTGTCTTCGCTCAGGAGGAATGGCTCCAGAGCAAACTAACTTATGCAGTAGCCAAATCCCTCACTCCCAGCTTTAATGCCAGCAGCTCACAGAGTAGAATGTTTGCTCACAAGACTCCACAGCTTAGAGGGAGCATGGCTCCAGAGCAAACTAACTTATGCAGGAGCCAAATCCCTCGCTCCCAGCTTTAATGCCAGCAGCTCACAGAGTAGAATGTTTGCTCACAAGACTCCACAGCTTAGAAGAAGCATTGCTCCAGAGCAAACTAACTTATGCAGGAGCCAAATCCCTCGCTCCCAGCTTTAATGCCAGCAGCTCACAGAGTAGAATGTTTGCTCACAAGACTCCACAGCTTAGAGGGAGCATGGCTCCAGAGCAAACTAACTTATGCAGGAGCCAAATCCCTCGCTCCCAGCTTTAATGCCAGTAGCTCACAGAGTAGAATGTTTGCTCACAAGACTCCACAGCTTAGAAGAAGCATTGCTCCAGAGCAAACTAACTTATGCAGTAGCCAAATCCCTCGCTCCCAGCTTTAATGCCAGCAGCTCACAGAGTAGAATGTTTGCTCACAAGACTCCACAGCTTAGAGGGAGCATTGCTCCAGAGCAAACTAACTTATGCAGGAGCCAAATCCCTCGCTCCCAGCTCTAATGCCAGTAACTTCACAGAGTAGAATGTTTGCTGACAAGACTCCAGAGCTTAGAGGGAACCCTGGCTGAAGCCCACTTCCTCTTGACAGACACAAAAGCTTCCGGACTTACCACAACTTCCTCTAGGATCCTGGTGGGACACGGCCTGGAGTGGAATTCGAAGGGCTCCTCCGCCTGCGGCTTCCTGCTCTCGCGCTCTTGGATCCGCTTCTCGATCTCCAGGTCGAACCCGATGGGCTTGGTGGGCTCTTTCGCCGGGGGCCTCTTGGGCAAGATGGGCCCAGCCTCCAGGATCCGGGGGTCGAGCTCTTGAGCCTTAAACTTGTACCTGTTCGGCAGTTGAGCAGACAGTCAGATTCGCCCCCTCCGCCCCTAGCTGGGAAAATCTGCCTCCCGACTCATGATACAAAAGCAGCGATCATCAGTAACTCAGGAGACCTAATGCTGCTGTTTGACACGTCAGCTGTGGCGGTTCTGAGCACCATTCCCCTGTGTAACTCCTGCCCAATGTTTTAGGGAGGTGGGTGGGTGTGGCTCTCCCCAGGTGGGGTTAGTGGTTGGGCGGATTCGCGAAGGTGAAGTCCATCAGTGGCTACTAGCCAACGGAACTGCAAGCCTCCCTGAAGTGCAGGCCTCGTGCTAGCAATGAAAATAAATAGGGCCCTTTGCAAACCGCAGAACGAGCGCCACTGATACAAAGAGCAAATCCTTCCACTCACCAAATGACAGAAGTTACTCAGCATCAGACCCTGTGGCCAGTACGGCGAGAAACTTCACAGGCGGGACCAATGCTCCCTCTAAGCCATGGAGTCTGGTGAGCAAAAATTCTACTTTGTGAGCTCCTGGCATTAAGGCTGTGAGCGAGCGATTTGGTTCCTGCATAAATCAGTTTGCTCCTTCCTGAGCTAAGACAACAATGTGCGAGCCAGAGGCTAAAAAACTGTGAGCTAGCTCACACTGACTCAGCTTAGAGGGAACGCTGCGCGGGACTATGTATACAGCCCGGCTTGGGATCCAGCACAGAAGGGGTTACAGGTCATGGGGAAATTTTGTTTTGTATTTTTCATTTGTGCGTGTGTGTGTCTATAAACGCGTGCGTGTATGTGTGCAGTCATGACGGCCTCTGGTGACTGTCCCCTACCAGGGGCCTGGAGGATATCCAGAGAGGTGGCTGAATCAAGCCTGCCCCCGCCTCCCGACTGCTGGTATTCCAAGGAGGTCTCCCATCCAAGTGCTTGTCAGAGTCGGCCCTGCTTAGCTTCCGAGATCTGACGACATCGGGCTTGCCTTGGGGCTATCCAGGGCGGGGCTGGTCATGGGGAAACTTTTGAGGGTCTCGACAAGGGGTTCAATAGAGAGAGGGCTTCAACAGAAAAGAACTTATTAAGTAGGTCCAACCAGGGCTCTTTTTGTAGCAGGAACTCCTTTGCATATTAGGCGACTCTCCCCTAATGTAGCCAATCCTCCAGGAGCTTACAGAGCTCTTCTTACGGGGGCTACTGTAAGCTCTTGGAGGATTGGCTACATTAGGGGTGTGTCGCCTAATATGCAAAGGAGTTCCTGCTACAAAAAGAGTCCTGGGTCCAACTAAATTGTAAGCCGCTCAGAGCCCCTAGGGGGTGAGCGGGATAGAAGTTGAAGGATAAATAAATAAATAAATAATAAAAAAAGAACTTATTAAGTAGGTCCAACTACAGAGAGACACCCTATCTGGACACTGAAAATAAGTTCTCCAAAGTTCTAACAGACACACCATGCACTGTATAGTACCATCTGTCATCTCCACTATTCCCTGTTTTCATTATCATTTGCTGCATCTACCAATTACATTTCTTTAACGCACACGTCAGCACTCGGTTACAAAACGCACCATAACCCTAAAGGTAACAGGCGTTTACTCAGTGGTAGGCAACTGTTAATTGCTTATGTCTCCATCTTCTAATCTCCTATTCTTATCTCTGAGGCTAGGCTCAGAACGGACATCACCAGGCACTTGTTTGGCATACTAGATTTTCTCAAAATAGGCACATACATTCTTAACGTTAACATCTCCTAATGAAGCTAGCAGCACTTATGTCGTTAGCAGAATTCAGGCAAAGTTCAGGAATTTAGGACGTATGAAGATTTTAAGTCATAAGGCACACAAGATGGAGTTGCTTTTGGTTAATTTCTCTATTGCAGGCCTTCAAGTCCCTCACGTTTTATAGGTTAACTAGGAAAAAGGCCCGTTGTGGAAATAAATACAGCGGTCTCTAGAAAGAGGCTCTGGGCGGGTGTCCCGGCCTTGGACACTCTGTGTCAATTTGCTGTGGCGACCTCAGCAGGGTATAATGACACTGAGTCCACCATTTTCTCCAGAGGAACTGATCTCTGCTACCTAAAGAACAGTTGTAATTTTGAGTGATCTCCAGTCCTCACCTGGAGATTGGCAACAAT